ACTCTACAGCTGAGCTACCTTCCCAGCCCCCTGAGTTAGATATTATCTGTGATGTAAGGTAAGATTTATACAAACTTTGAACTTAAATACTTAGCTATAATGACATTTAGGTATTTGTATAGGAATTTGTTCCCATTTCTTAAATTTTGTCTCTTGGTTGGTCTCAGTATTTATTGGTAAGTTTCCTTTGTATGTGTATATTACTAAAATTTATCATAATCCTGTGTGCGGTCTGGAACTTCATATGCTTTTTGTTTAATTCTGGAATATTATAATTTTGCGGGCAAAATATATTTTCCCACAAATGGCTTACCATTTGAGGAGTGTAATTCTAGAACGCATACTTGAAATCTGAGACTATCAAATACAGTTATTGTCACAAAGCCTCTGCTTCAAAGAAGGAAGCCTTCATACTTTCTGCTTACTATCATTCTTCCTTGGGCCTCAGAAGCTGATTCTGATGGTAGAGTTCTTTCTGCTTTGCTGTGCTCTTCGGTGCCTGTGTGAGAAGGAGATGCTAAAGAGACTAATTGTAGTCACAAGGAAGGTGGGAAGCCAGGCTTTAAAAAGTAAATGCTGCCAACTTAAGTATCTGGTTTTCTCCAAATTTGTTTCTATGAAACATAACCTTCAAATATCTTCCTAGGAGAAATTATCAAGGAATAAAAAGTCTTTAACTTGGTAAAGAGATCATTTTATTTATTTTATTTTATTTATTTATTTTTTTGGTCCGGTCGTGGGGCCTGAACTCTGGGCCTGGGCACTGTCCCTCAGCTCTTCAGCTCAAGGCTAGCTCTCTACCACTTGAGCCACAGCACCACTTCCAGCTTTTTTCTTTTTGCTTATGTGGTGCTGAGGAATGAAACCCAGGGCCTCAGGCATGCAAGGCAAGCGTTCTACCACTGAGCCACCTTCCCAGCCCCGATTATTTTAATTGATTAATTAAGTCTACTCTGGGGCTTGACCTCAGTGCGTGGGTGCTGTCTCTTAGCTTTTTCCCTTGAACTCAGTACGTGGGTGCTGTCCCTTAGTTTTGTCCCTTGAGGCTGCCACTCTACCACTCCTTTGGTGATTAATTGGGAATAAGAGTTTGTCATGGAATTTTCTACCCAGGCTGGCTTTGAACCATGATCCTCATAATCATCCTTCTGAGCAATTAGGATTACAGGCATGAGCCACCAGTGTCTGGCTAAAGATGTAATTTTAAAGGAGAACTTTATTATTTGTTTACAGGACAGTATTTTGTCTTTCTTTATCTAGCGTACAGTCCATATTATCATAGGTTTAAGATGTTTCTTTTTGTATTGTCCAGTTTTTCCATGTATCTACCTAACAGTCCTTTAAGAGAATTCAATATCCTATTATATCGAAGTACTCCTATATGTTCAGTATATGGGAGTGTTTAGGATTAATTTCCATTTGTATGTTCTGTTTTATACATCTTTGCCCACAGGTTTTTGTTTTTTCTTTTGGGTCCGGTCATGGGGCCTGAACTCTGGGCCTGGGCGCTGTCCCTCAGCTCTTCAGCTCAAGGCTAGGGCTCTACTACTTGAGCCACAGCTCCACTTCCGGCTTTTTTCTTTTTGCTTATGTGGTGCTGAGGAATCGAACCCAGGGCCTCAGGCATGCAAGGCAAGCACGTTACCACTGTGCCATCTTCCCAGCCCCAAGGTTTTTTATTTTTTCTTCAGTACTAAGGTTTTTGAACTCCTCGTGTTGAGACTACTAAGCAAGCACTTTAACTATACCTCTGGCCCTTCTTTTGGTTCCAGATTATTTTTCAGATCAAGGTTTCATGCTTTTGCCTAGGACAACCTAGGGCCACAATATTCTTGCCTATGCTATCCATGTAGTTGGGATTACAAGTGTGCCACATCATGGCCTAGTTCCTTCTTTTAGAAAGAGTTTTTGCTTTTGTCTATGCTTCCCCTGAACTTCCCAGTCTTCAATTACAGCTGAAATTACAGGCTTGAGTCACCACAGCTGACCCACATGGCCATTTTTATGTAGGATTACTTGCCCAAAAGTCCTTTAAATATTTTGTTGCTCTGTGAAAATACTTTTATCAGTTTAAAGTATTGCTAGTTCTGCATGAATAGTTTTCCATAACTCCAGTGATTGTGTTGTTTTCATCACTTACTATGCAGTAAGAGATAGAGCTTGCTTTTTGGTGGAAGTTGCACAGTTGGTCCTTAGTATCCATAGTCCCAAATCCATGGAATCAGACAACCACAGAACCCTGGAGGGAGGGGCGGGCACTTGGCTGATAGGTTATTGAATCTGTCAGTCCAGTGCCTGGGACTGGGAATTTCCTGTGGACCTGCCCCCTGTGCTGACCCTGTTTAGGTCTAGAGCAGCAGAGGCGCCATTACGCCACGTCACATGTGTCTTCATGTTCAGGTCCTGTCTCCTGGCTCATCTCCAGTCATCTTGGTGTCCCAATTAAGCTCTCCATTGGAGCTGAATTGGCTTGTTAGTATTGTTTTTGTTCTTTCTTCCCTCTCTAGCTTGATTCCTAGCTGTGTTATGTGTATTCAGGGGCTGCAGACCTTGGTAACAATGGGCTGCCTCTAGACTGCTAGTGTTGTAATAAAGATTCCAGTATTCCATCTTCAAAAAAAGGAATTGTGTATTAAACACATACAGGATTTCCTTGTCATCAGCCCCTAAACGATATCGTTTGCAAAGTATTACAATAACCTACAAAAAATTCAAATAGTGAAATGACTCAGGAGGCTGAGTCAGGACAATGGAAAGTTTGGCTACATAGTGAGAGAGAGAATGTATGATATGTACAGGTTAGAGAGAAATACTACATTAGATGCTTACGTGTCTTTGGCTTTTTGTGGTATGTGTGTGTGCTCACATGTGTATGTGGCAGGGGAAGAGTGTGTTTTCTGGAACCAATTTCTATGATACAGAAAGTATGCAAGTAACTGGGATTACATGTATGATCTACCACTCCTGTCCTTAGTGGTTTTCTTAACCACCATTTTTTTTGGTCAAATTATTGGCTCATTTTGAGATATAATAGGATGGTAGGGTTTCTCTCTTTAGGTTGAAATTCGAGAACTAGAGTTTCTGAGTCTGAGGATTAAGTCTTATACAGATTTTATTCCACAGGTTCTAGTTCCTTTCACAGCTGTCTTCTGCTAAAACTGCAGATGTGCATCCTCATTAAACATAGACCTGACCTCCAGTCTGGAAGCAGTGTTAATAATTACGCTTCTGTTTTTGTGTATTTTTAACTCAGGCCCTGGACAGACTATGTGCCTTAGCTTTACTTAAGGCTAGCAACTCTACCACTTGAGCCACAGCTCCACTTCTACCTTCTGGTGGTTAATTGATTATAAGAGTCTCAGGGACTTTTCTGCCTGGGCTGGCTTTAAACCATGATCCTCAGAGCTCAAGTCTTCTGAGTACCTAGGATAACAGGCATTGCCTGGCAGCAATGCTTAACTTTTATCTCCTGGCCCTACATTGGTCCCTTTTAACAAGAACCTGGTTTCTTTATTCAGAGGCTTATGCACAATTGATCATAACTCTGTTCACATACCTGTCTGTAAGAATGGGCAATGTGAGAATATAGGCAAAAGAAGAGCCACTGTGGGGTAGGTGATTTCTTCTTTGTTTTTATAACATTAGGTAATATGCTTATTTTTGTTATAGCCCAGGCTTCACTTTCTAAGAAAACTTGTATGAATATAGCACTGATTCTCCTCTGAGCATATCATGGAAAAATGTTCCTTTGTATATTAGGCTATAGCAGGTGAAAGAAAAGAATGATTTCAGCCCCTGCATGAAGTATTTGGGTGCCAAATGCCTGTATCTGCCCTTCTGAGACCTGGCTTCAGGCCCTGCGGTTGCTGTGGGGCATCATTAGTGCCACATGGTGCTCTCTCTTCAGGCAGAGGCTTCTCTGTGGATATGGGTGGGTATCTTGTGAAAAGTTGGAATAGCAGAGAAATGAGTTGTTTGTAATGAAAGTTAATTCTGATCTTTTGGCAGTTTGGCTTAAAAATAACTTTTTTCCTGTTTTGAAGGATGGTTACAGTTCTCAGGCATTTACTGCTTGTTAATCACTGTTATGTCAGTTACCTATAACCAAGTTTTTTTGGATAGTATTTTTTGTGTTCCAGCTAGCACATTTCGCAAATTATAACTTGAAGCTTTGTAAGGCAGTGTTCTTGGACAGTATTACATTTTATAACAAATGTGAAGATATGAATTGTATCTGCTTGGATTACCATTAGCTGCTGTAGCTATTTAGGCAAAATTCATTAACACTCCTGGCTTGGCTTGCTCTACATCAGGCACACCTCTAGTTCTCTTTTGGCTGGTTAATTGATACGTTTGTTTCAAGGAATTGTCTGCCTGAGCTGGCTTCGGACCTCATTCCTCAGATCTCAGTCTCCCAAGTCACTGTGATTATGTGTGAGCCAGAGGCTCATAACTATTACTTAGCTTTCTTTGTGTACATCTGGCACTCTACCAGTTGAGTCCTACTTTCCATCCATAATACATTGCTTGTTTAGCAGCCTTAGCCACAATTGTATCAACTCATTAGCCATATGTAGCCATCGGCTGCCATATTGGACAGCAAAAAAAAAAAAAAAGGTTCTCTTAGCACTATTCTAATGCTATGATCTTTTCATGATAAAATGCAGAAGTAATGGGTTTAAATGTGTGTCTTACAGATTTTTCTAAGGAAGTTTAAGAAGATCGTAAAAGATCTCAAGTTGGAATGAGAATTGCCTTGGCTTTTAGAAATGTGTCCTTAATGTGGAAGTGATATGAATGAACCATCAAATCATTTATACTCACTGACATTAACTGACATAATGATTATTGCTTAGAAGAAGTTAGCTAGCTTTCTTTGTTGTTGCATAAAGTTTTGACCAGGTTGGTTGTCTGCTTCACTGAAAAGAACCTGGCTGGATCAACTATGGAAAATATACATTTAGAGCTTTCTTGATACTGGTGTTTTGTTTTTCCTGCAGGAGAACTGCGGCACATCACCAAGCTGAAGCCCTGGAGCCTCTTTGATGTACTTGTGGAAAAGTATGGCTGGCCCCATGAAGATGCTGCACAGTTTACAGATTTCCTGATCCCAATGTTAGAAATGGTTCCAGAAAAACGAGCATCAGCTGGCGAATGCCTTCGACATCCTTGGTTGAATTCTTAGCAAATTCTACAAATATAGCATTCTGAGCTAGCAAATGTTTTCCAGTACATTGGACCTAAACGGTGACTCTCATTCTTTAACAGGATTACAAGCAAGCTGGCTTCACCCTCAGACCTTTATTTTGCTTTGAGGTACTGTTGTTTTGACATTTTGCTTTTTGTGCGCTGTGGTCCTGGGGAAGGTTAGTCTCTTGTCTTCAACTAAGTAGTTTACTGACCATTTTCTTCTGGAAACAATAACATGTCTCTAAGCATTGTTTTTTTTTGTGTTGTGTGACATTCAAATGTCATTTTTTTTTGAATGAAAAATACTTTCCCCTTTGTGTTTTGGCAGGTTTTGTAACTATTTATGAAGAAATATTTTAGCTGAGTACTATATAATTTACAATCTTAAGAAATTATCAAGTTGGAGCCACGAAATAGCAAGGAAATGTACACTTTTATCTTCTGGCAAAGGGACATCATTCCTGTATTATAGTGTATGTAAATGCACCCTTGTAAATGTTAATTTCCATGAAATATGGGATGGGGACTCAAATTTCAGAAACGCTACCAAGTCCTGAGTGCTTTATAGCCTAAGTTGCATGTAGCAGACTTTCTGCTGCTCCAAGGAGTTGTACAAACTTTTCATTCCATAACAATCCATTTACATTGGATTTCAAATGAGGTGGCTCTGGATTATAAGATATCATTCCTTATATGGCACATTAAAGGAAGACGAGAGAATGCTTCTCATTCTAAAATATTCATTATAATTTAGTAGTCCCATTAGTATTTTTGCCTATTTTTAGAAGTGATTTTCCTTTAAAATTGTGATGGCCCAGTACCATGTAGTGTTGCTTCCTCCAAGCACTGTAATGTTAAATATGTAGAGTAAATGGGTCAAGAGAAAAGTGTTCAGTGTGTGGGATAAAAATACATATATTTTGGGAGAAGCATGGTTGAGTTTGTGTAAAACACAAGTTATGGTTTATACAATTTACAGTGCAGTGGGCCAAAAACTCCTCACAGCTGAAAGGTAATGGTGATCATGTTCATTCCATAGACAGCTTTCTGTGTTGGCTATAGCAAATTTTACTCACTTTTTCAGTCTCTCCTTGAATGAGAAAATGGTTTCCCTTTGCAGGTTGCACACAGTTCTTGTTCATGCATTTCCTTAAAATTGTAGAACCCAGGACACAACCCATTAGTAGGCAATACAAGTTTAGAATGTAATATATAGAGGTATACTTAGCCTCATCTAGAAGTCAGTGGATTGAATGTCTTTTTATTTAAAATTTTACATTTATTAAGGTGCCTCATTTTTCTTGACTTTGTCCATTAACATTTATCCATATGCCTTTGCAATAACTAGATTGTGAAAAGCTTAAAAAGTGTTGTAACAATAATCCATTGTTTGGGGTGCTTGCAGTTGTCTCAAAAATTAAAGTGTTTTGGTTTTTTTTTCCAGACATTGCCTTGGTCATTGCCCTGTATTTGAAGTGATACAACCAATGAACATTTGCTATCAGTTTAGTGTCACTAAAACTAAAGGAAATACCAACATTCCTGATGCAGCAAATGTAGTTGTATAACATACATTAATGCCTATGGAGTCATTTATGGTTGTTTTTTTTTAAGGCCAGATTTAGGAAAGATATGCTACATTATAATTCATTATATACAATATCAGTGGTCCTTTTTTTATGTTTCATCATGCCACATACTTCTCTGTGAGTTAGCATTGTATCACATATTGCTGTGAGGTAGAATGTACCTTGTGCTCATTTATGAGATGTGCATGAAGTATTTCTAATGAAATTATCGGTTTCCAGGTAGATTATACGGCAGATGGTGGCTGTAGACCAGTTTTACTATTCATAGTTTCCACAGGAAACATTCTTCTAAGAACCACTGAGTAAATTTGTCTTCCTTATAAGGATTTTTACCAGGGCAATAGTATACTTGAATGAAATTTGCAGGTTTGGGCCATGATGGAAAATAAAGTAAATTGAGTTTTACAAAGATGGTTATCATTATGATATAAATAGCTTAGAAACAGGTCTTCTAGAAGGAATATGTATTTGTTTTAGCAGATTTTTGGTGGCTTGTTAAAAATATATATATAATTTAAAGGAGAAAAATTGGTTATGCCAAACTTTATGTTTCTCCAGCTCAGCAATTTTAGTTGAATATCCTATCTTTCCCTTTCTGTGATCCATGTGATTCTTCATGGAAAATTACAAGATTTAGGTCATATATTTGATTGAAACAGATTCAGAAGCCTGATATCTGAAAACTGGCAGATAGAACTGTCCCCAAAACAGAGACAGTGGATATGAAGAGCTTCATAAAAACTACTTGCTCCTTCTTGTACCTGGACCACATAGGACTTAACAGGATAAAGTAAGGAAACTTTTCCCTTGGAGTAGAGAACTTGTTTCTGTACATGAAATTATTAAGTTACTCTTTTTCTCTTATTGTTTTATAATGCAAGCTTGGTAGAGGACAGTATTTGAGTAAAAATTAGTTATTTAATATGCATTTTACACAAAAGTTTCTGTATACAATCCTTGTGTAGTAAGCCTATTTGAAACTGAGGAATTAAAAAATTTTAAAGTGTAGTCCTTTTAAAGAGAGGAATGTTGATATTTCATATATACTAGTTAACTTTGTTCTATGTTTCGATCAGGGGTTGAATGATGTAAAGCCATTTTTTCTCAGACAAATATTTCTTTAGTGAATATAGTAAGTAGAATTGTGTTTGATAAGTCTAGGATGGCTTGACTTATGTTCTTTTGAAGAAAACATGAAGCTGATTAGGATTAAACCCTAAATGAGTTGTAATAACATACCATCATTAGCTAATGAAAATGAAAATTAAAATGATAAAACATGACTTAAAATACTACCAAATCTCATTCAGTCATTTTTTAAGTCTTGTTTACTTTTTCCTGATGCACAAGATTTGCATACTGTGCCCAACTTATGTCAAGTATTTGGATGATAAAAAATTATGTTAACAAACAGTGTCACTGCTATTGGATTTGACTATTACTCCTGAGAGATAGATAGAAGGCAAAGGCTGGGAATTTTTATTGTTGTTTTTTTTTAATAGACCTATCATTTTGTATTTCAGCAATAAAATAACTTCCTTGAGAGGTCATCTTTATTTTACTTGAGAGATCTAAGGATGTCTTTTTTCTTTAATTGTATATACTCAAACTAAATTTAAAGAAGTAATTTCCCATGACTTAAAAAGTCTCATAGTTATATATTAAACATTACAGTTTTCAGATCAGTTTTGATTTCAGTCATGTTCTAAAATGTACAAATTAAGATATTCCTATGTATTGCAAACTACTTTTCAAACAACTGTTGTAAATTGCAGTTTTGTTACTATCATGTGTTATGCATTAGTGGTTTGGTTTCAATTTATATAATGTATATACTTAAGTAAATTTACATAGCATGACTGTTTTAAGTAATTTCCAGTGGCTTTTGCTCCTGAAAAAAAAACCAAGTAGGAACCATTTTAGAAAGTAATCAATGGTAGCCTCTAGCTACCATTCAACTTGAGGTAGTAGTTGCTAAAGAAAATTGAAGGTTCCTTCTTCACATTATTCCTTAAGTTTTGTAAAAAACATTTAAGCTGTCCCCAATCTTAGAAGTTGTACAGCACAATTTGGTAAAACTGACATAATTGTGATTTATTAACATGAATTAAAATGCCCAACCAGTGCTTCAATGTGACAGTATATTTAAAATAAAAAAGGAAAGTAAAGGCCATATACTGTACTACTTTTCACAAAGATCACACAGTTTTGCAAAAGACTTGTCATATGTACAATGCTATATATCAAATGAAAAAAGCGTAAGCAATTATATACGCAAAAGAAATGCAGTATTTACAGTTTGCCAGGAGACATTAGAAATCATCTATACATTAAATTACATTTTGCTTGCAAATAACTGATAAAAACAAAATGAGCCATGTCCACACCAAACTATAAAAATCTGTATTGCATTTTATACCTAAGATGCACTCACAGAACTGACCCCCCCCCAAAGAAAAGGAAATCCTCATAGTGCTATTATTAGCTGTGTACTTAATGTATAAAATAATACAGAAAACATTCACTAAATGAATTCAACTGCAACAATAAAATTTAAAGATCATGTAGCATCAGATCTACTGCCAGAAAAACAGCTGGAATGTTCACTTACAAAATAAAGATACCTAATACTGGCTTAACAGCACATTTCTTAAGGAATTTTAAAAAGCAAAAATGGGAAAAATACAATGGAAGAGCACTGGTTTTTGTTGTTTTGTTTTTGTTTTTTTATACAAATTTTCATGTACAAGTTTTAAAAAGTACCTTAATAGGTACATATGAAATATACACTTTATCTTACAGAACATTTAAAAAAATGTTATTGGAGTCCATTTTAATGCCACCCTGAACCATGGTAATTGTTCTGAAATGTTGGTGGCACCTGTGCTCTGTGAATTGGAATCTGTCCAGGCACTGGAGATGCCTGCTGAGGTCCTTGCACCCCATGTGGTAGGGCCACAGAGCCAGGATGAGGACAGAACCCTGAAGCAGTAGGTGTTGGAATACTGTTTGGTCCTTGGGGCTGGAGGTGAGGACCTGCAACGGGTAATGGACAATGTGGCCCTGTTCCAGACGGCTGGTGCTGGGGTCCCGGTCCCAGAGTGGTGTGATGTGTAGCTTGTGAGGGATACGGTGGTACAGCTGGATGAGCAGTTGAAGGAAAAAGTGGAGGTCCTTGATGAGGTGGGTGGTGTAAGGCTTGACTTGATGTCGTATGATGCCCAGAAGTCAGAACACTGGAAGGTGGAGGTGGAGGTGGAGGTGGGGGTGCTGAATTTACAACATGCTGGTGTTGTGCTTGTAGACCTTGGAGTCCTGTGGTAGGATGGGGTGGTGGATGGTGATGTGGGGCAGGACCAGGAGGTGGAGGGGGTGGTGGTAAATGATGTCCAGCAGTTTGAGAATGAATATGTGAACCAGGGGTGACAGCATGAACTGGCCCTACTACATGTGCTACAGAGTGTTGCTGATGGGAATTTGGCTGTTGTACAAGGTGCGGTCCTGGAGCAGGTGGTGGTGGAGGCGGGGGTGGGACCACAGCAGCAGCAGTTTGATGGTGAATGGTAGGGTTCTGAGAGGGCAAAAAATGCCCCGGAGTAACATGGTGTCCTGGAACTGATTGCTGGCTTGTGCTGCCAGGAAGTGCTTGATTTGGTCCAGATGTAAACACAGTTTGTTGGGAAAGACTACCTTTAAGCTGATTATAATTCTGAAAATTTGCAGAGGGCTGCTGGTTTTGATAATAAGATGAGGAAGAAGGAGGCGGAGGGGGCGGAGGGGGTGGTGCTGCGCTGCTCAGACTCTGTTGGTTAAACTGACTGTATGCTGCTGAAGATTGTCCTGAGGGTGTCTGTGTAAATAATGCTCCGGAAGTTGGCTGCTGGGTATTGGCTTGAAGATTCTGTGTTGCTGGATAAAAATTTCTCTGAGGCTCTCGCTGAGGGGTTCCAACTTGAGGTGACTGTGAATGATGAGGCCTGAAGGGAGATCCTAACTGCTGTGAAGGAGGCTTTGGTGAGAGATAACCATGCTGCACAGGTGTGTGAGGCGTGGAGGACTTAGGAGGGTTTTCTATGTGAGGTGACAGAGGACAGTGCAACTTCGTTGGTACAGAAGGCAGCTTTTGGGGAAGTTGCTCAGTTGTACTGCGAGCATGGGGCTGAGGAGGAGGATGGTTCTTTGAAAGTGCTGGGGTGTTATTCGATAGTTGTTTTTGTTGGAGCTCTGTTTTTAGGTGAACATTCTCAGCTTCTGATACAATAACTGTTGTCTCCCAGTGGGGATCTGATTTTGTGAGTGTTTTCCCATGTGGTTGAGCAGGAATTACAGGTCCCGGTGAACCAGGCTGAAAGAGAAAACAAATTGGATAATAAGCTTAAGAAACACACTATTTGAGATTTATTATTTTTGGTATTTACGATTTTTAAGTATTAACTTTAAAAGGGGCAGGAATAGTATATTTGAGAGAAGTTAATTATTGAGGCTTCAGGCTTTGAAAGGTTATTGAACAAGTTCTGGACAGTGAGTTTAAACTGAATTCTCTAGAAGAAAATTTGAGGAAATAATGGTCTTTAAATTTAATCTGCCTTTTCCTACTAAGTAAAAAGAAATGTCCCGGGGCCTTACTCTAAAAGAACTTTAATAATCTTATCCTTATATTTGGTATAGAGATTTCAGTTACAGAATTGAAAATTTTACCAAAAACGTAACTGAAATTTCTATATCCAATATAAGGATAAATTGACTTTGGGTACACATATTTGCCTCCCTCAAACCAGTTTTTATTTTCCTTGGAAGGGACTCTCTATATATAAAGTATTCAATTGCTTTAAAATATTACATGCCATATCATATCTTCATAGGCCAGAATGGACAATCCTGTTAAATGAATGTCACTGATGTTTTGTTTTTAGAGAATTGGCTGGTTAAGTATTTCATGAAAAGAAGAATGATCTTCTTTTCCAGAAGTTACTCCTGGAAAAGAGGTGGAAATTTAAATACAGAAGATCACTGAATTTTAGTAAGTTATTTGTGTCACACTTCAGTGTGAGTGGTGACAGAATAAATAAAACTATACACAATTGACAAGAAGTGTCCAGAAATCACAAACTGATACTTGATATAGTAGAAAAATGTGCTTGTCACGTTAACAAAATTATCTTTTCTAAATGACAACATTTAAGGGTCAATGTTATTACCTTGCTCATTTTTGAAGGGCTTTTACAAATAATTTGCGAAGTGTCTGGGGATGGACATTCATTTGTAGCTGTGGGTTCTGGATTTTCAGGATCAGGGTCTATAAAGCAGAAAAAACCTACAGTAAATGTTAAATAACATGACACATACTTTCTTTATTGACATCACAAAGCAATGTATATTCTGTCAAACTTTTTTCAAAACAAGAACTCGTTTTTTCTGATTTTAAAAAGGTGTTTAAAACAACAAGTCATGATAGGTCATCTGCTTACTGACCTTCTATAAGTTCACTGAAAGAAGGTACTAGGCCCTTAGTGTGCAGCTGGGGAATGTGATTTGAATGAGATGAAGGTGAAGACTGAACATGACTCGGTGAGCATGAGACACATGGTGACTCTCCCCCTAGAGATGAAGCAAGCAGACCCAAAGAGAACATTAGCACTCACAGAGAACAAGAGCGCAAGGATTAGCCAGCTCCACTTTTAACAGCAAGCTTACTTACCACAGTCTTTATCTTTTCTATGATCACTGAGAAGTAAAGCTCTCTGATAACTCCTTTCTCTCACTTGTTCCACTGAAGTGGAGGCAGTCCTACAAGATAAAATCCTAAAGTCAAAGAAGCTTCTGCCAGCTAGATTATATTCTTTGTTCTTTGATGAGCAACACATCCTATCAGACCTCTACTGGGAAAATATTGTGCTTTTGGTGTTAAGCTTCAAAAATAATGAACTTTCTCTTAGTTTGCTAAGTGAAATTTTTATTCATACTAATCTTAAAAATATTATTATCTTTAAATAGTTGTATTCAGGAATCACCATTTAACAAAGACGTTTATGAATATAGTGTATCTTGATCAATGTCACCTCTTTCAACATTCTCCCCCCCCCGTTACCCCCCCCCCCCCCATTTATCCCTGTTTATAAGAACTAATACTAAACTACTTTGTCTTCAGACGTTCCTTAGTGTTAAGGAGGAGTGAGTTGAAGATAGTGTATTAAGTCACTTCTGGTTACTAAAGTTAACAAAACATGCCCAAGAAAAATTGCTTGAGGGCTGTAACCTCTCAGGGAACGCACAGCCTTCTGCTGTTTTGCTAATATCCACCATATGAGCAGCTGCTTCTCTATTCCTATTGAAGAAATATTAGACTGACTAACTTCTTTCAAGACTAACTGGTAGGGCTTCGTAAAGAAATCATAGGAAGTTGCCTGTCATAAATGTCCTTTAGAGAGGAATATTTGCATGAAAAGCATAAAAAAAAGGAGTAAACACAGTACACTTTTAATGCATAAACATATAGCTGACTTAAAACCTTGTCAGCAAAGATCTTTCAAAATTATAAATGTCCTTGAGAGAGGAATTTGCATGAAAAGCATAAAAAAGGAGTAAACAGTAGACTTTTAACAGCATAAACATACATACAAAATTATAATCTCAAATCACTATCTGCTTACCCTTAGGAGAGCAACAAACAGGAAGAACAGTTACTAACAAAAGTCTTTTCTTTTGAGTGTAATACTTCAAAAACAGGCTTACCATTGAACTTCTGGTTCATTCTTCTCATTGGCAGTAGCTTCTTTAATAGGACAGTTATTGCTGGTTTCTTCAGTGGTATTGTAAATTGCAGCCGGTATTGGTAAAGGCAGGCTAGCAGTGTTTTCTGCCTGCTCCCCATTTTCACTACTGTGGACACAGCCATCACCACTGCTGCTCAGGTTCCCACTTGCATGAGGTGATACACTAACCAGAGGAAAGTTTTCTGACTTAGAGCCACTTTTTCTAGCTTCACGTTGTCTCTTACGGTACTCTAATAGAGACACCTTAAACAAAATAGAAAAAGCAAACCTTTTATTCTTGTCTCAAATGTCAGAATGAATTCATTCTTTTTATCTAAGGAAAATTATATTTATAATAGGAAAATTATATTAAATAATCAGATTTTTAATAAATAATTAACAATTACCAAATGCCTACATGTGCTAGGCATTGTACTTAGATGATTTACATATATTATTTCATTTAATCCTCACAACAACCCTATGAAATAGGTATATTATAATCCCCATTTTACAGATGAGGAAATTGAGTAACTCACTCACTCAAGGTCACACAGCTGGTGAGTGTTGGAGCCGGGATTCGAACCTAGGTCTTACTTGAAAGCCCGTGCTCTTTCCACTATACTACATTGCTTCCCAAAAGTTGCCAACTGGACTCTGTTATAAAAATTAAAAGCACACATCACTAAAATTCTTTGACTTATAAAGCAATAAGCCTATTAACAAATTAAGTAAGTGTTGTAGTTTCTCCCATTCCTGTGAAATAGGCATTCTAATTGTCTCAAGAAGGGAATTTATATATTCACGTATAATATATTAGTATATACTTTCCAAAATAATCTTACATCCATACCCTACATAATATAGGTATTATGATGACAAGAGGCATTTCTTCTATACATGGATGCCTGTTCAATGTAAGAGAAATAAAAATATAATATTGTTAATTCTGGTTTTTTTCTGGTTTAAGAGTCATTCTTTTGAAAGGTTCATTAAGAATTTTTCAAAATGCATTAAACTTTGTCATATCACTAGAATTTTGTACTTTGTTGTAAACATTTTCTAATTAATGAACATTTACAAAATTCAAGTGTACATATAAAATTTTTAGTGTGAACAAATTAAGAATGCCTTATATTATACATAACTACCAATGACACTTAAGAGCAGTATGAAAACAATGACAATTAAAATGACTATAAATTGTTAAAATGTAACCTTTTTCTTCTGTGGTGGATTCTGGGGTGTACAACTCCCGTCGATCAAACTGTCATTAACAGTCCGTCCGAAACCAGAGACAAGCCCATCTTCAGAAGTACAAAACACAGCTGTTTCCATAAACATGCCTCTAGTATCATCCTGCATCAGGCACTTTGACTCACTAATTCGGAAGCCTCCTCCAACTTCCAACTGATGTGAGGGTGTCAAGTCCCTCAAGTTGGAGTTCACTGAGAAGTTAACTCCTGCTCTGTCAGGACTCTTTACCCAGGAAGAATATAATGTCCCCCGTCCAGGGTGAGTAGAGTCCATTTGGTTGTTAGGCTCAGTCCTGTCATGTGCAGGTGTTTCCATGGTTTTATGTAAGGCAGTTGGCTCGACTGCATCGAGTCCCAGTTGAAGGTCTGACACAGGTTCCTTTTCTGCAGGACACTGCCTGTTGACTTCAGTCCTATTTCTAGGACTGGTATAACCAATAGTCTTTATTTCTTGCAGACCCAGCTCAGTTAAATTGGAATTTCTAAAAGGCCCCAATGTCAGTATTGTTGAAGATCTATCATATCCCTGTTCATAGAATTAAAAAAAAAATAACATTTTAGGATTATTTACTTCAAAATCTACCAATAATTTAAGCAAAATTATATTAGGAAAAAATAAATCTTTTTTTTTTTAAAGTAACTTCTTACCTCTTGATTATAAGTGCGTCTCTTTATTTCTGGAGAACTTTCTGGGGAAGAAATATTCTATACAAAAGGAATAATCAGAATTGAACATTAAATTACATTACTAAATCTTATTTTATAGAAGTTAACATTTAAAATAGAAAACTACAGAGACTTTGTTTTTAGATATTGTTAAAATCTGCTTAATTTCTATTCCCCCAAAAAAGATACATTTAGTCTGCTGTGTGATGCTTTTATCAGTACAAATAAAAGTGTCTAAATTTATATAGACATATGTTCCCAGTATTCTCTTTTAGTTAAGCGGGGGGGGGGGGGAAGAAGGTTAATTAAAAGTAAAAATCTCTTAAACCCTATCTCCTGGGGTTAAATTTTTTTCTCACCTCAAAGTGCATGGTGTTTCCTGGTGTACCAGGAGTTACTGGGGTAACTGGTGAATATATGGGTTTATAACCATTTCTGTATGTTTCATCATCTGATTTTATCCGCGGAGGAGTGGCAAATGATGGATCCGTAGGAGTGATATCTGCATGAGTTGGTGTAGCATATGGTGAAGGAGTAGGTGTTGAAGTTTCTGAGTAAACAGAATCTAGCAACTGATAAAGTCTTCGTTTTTTTAGTGGTGTGGTTAAATCTGTTGGTGAAATAATAATCTATAAGAAACAAAACTGCTGATGTTGGCTAAAATCTGTAATACGTTATATTCAGGAAACATAAAACATCAATAGTAATTATGATGAATTTTACACTAAAACTATATTACAGGGTTTTAGAAAATAGTACTAATACAAAATCATCTTCCTCAAAATTAATCATATAGCTCTGAAATTAATTCCACTGTTAGCAAGCATTACTTTGCCCAAAAACATACATAAAGAAATATTATAGGTATTAATGTTAGTTTAACATCTGTCCCTTTTTTCATCTGTTTGAAAACAACTAGCACCAAAGCCAAAACTAAACCTTTACAAATTCAATCCTAATCCCAGCACAGTCTTACGGCATGGAGGTTTTGAGTCTGGCTTTAAGGAAAAAGTTTGAAGAACTGAAATGAGAAAATGTAACAATGTGCTTGTAAATGTATGTACAAAGTAGTAACTATACCATGCCTATTATAAAACTATTATATATCCTGTCACATTGTTAATATTAAAACAATACTGAAAGAAATTCTACCTTGAAGTGAACAGCTATCATTTAGTAGTAGTGGACTTATATTTTCACCATTGACTATAGGACTTCTGGATCTTTCTTGACATGGTGAATTAAATCTACGCAAAACTGCTGAATTTTCTTCTTCCAAAGCTTGTTTCAGCCATCGCTAAACAAAACAAAAATTTAAACAGGGATCAGTTTGTACCTCTTTATATAACCTATAAAGGCAGTACTGATTCTCAAAGCATTTCATAGTCATGAATAGTAATAAAGAATGAGAATTTGCCTCAGCATAGATTTTTATATTCAAAGAGAAGTTTACCTTTTTGCATGAGCCAGAAATATTTTCAGTGGGTTCTTTTCTTCTCCTTTTTTCTGAAAGGAATGGTGAAGTAAATCTAATATAATGTTTAGGAGTAGAGTATACGTGGGGACTGTACGTGAGACCTGGCAAAGAATTGAGCTGTGTAGCTAATACTTCTGGATCTGTAGTTATGCGTAGAGGCCTTTCTGAAAGGCTTTCTGAAGGTTTTCCTGTCTTCTCATTCTTCTCACTTAACCATTCATTGACCAAGTGCTGAAGAAAAGAAAATATTTGGATCACTATATGTTACTGCACAGAATCTCCTTACAGAATCAAATTAGAAATTCTTATACCATCCAAAAATTAAGCAGTTTTAAAATTATATTGTCCAAAGAAATCTATGTTATTTTACATTTCCTTACTTATACTATTTTTTCTATATTTTATAGGAATAAAAGATAGTTACTTTTGTAAAAATTACATTAATAAGACACTAATCCATTTTAACATGGTAAAATCTAGGAGATATCAGTCAGTACCTCAAACCCTGTTAGAATTATTATTGCTTCTACTATATGTATAAAATGTTTAGTTCATTAGAAAAAGTTTAATGTTAGCAGTGCTTTTCTACTGAAAGTGCTCATCCCAGTCTTGTGGAGATAAGGTCAGTACACACATGCACACACACTCACACACAAGAGCCCTGTCAGCACCGACAGTTACACACACACACACACAAATGACCCCTGTCAGCACTAACAATTCCTGATTTAAAGGTTTTGAAATACGTCTTAAACTTAGGATTTGGAAATTTACATTTATTTTTGTTTATTCTTTGATTTACAACTTATGTCTTCACTAGTTGTATGAATGTACTTGGTCCTAACATAACATTTTCTTTGCTTTTAGCATGTACATGTTTCTCTAGTTACCAAATAATACTAGTAACTCATATTTTAAATGCAAGTTGCAGAGAAAGTAGTATATATGTGAATAAGTATCTTCACGCACAAAATATATATACATAGGTTGCATTTTTTCTTTCCCCTTTCTTCTATGTGTGTAGAACTACCTTTGGCAGGACAAGCCATAGAGTGTAGTGGTGAAGATAGGGAATCTAGAACCAGGCTGCTAGGGGTAGGGTCCTGGTTTTGCTACTTCCATTGTGACCATGAGCAAGTTAAGTCACTTTTCTACTGTCTCACTCTTAATCTATAAATGAAGAATCCTAACGGAAGTCCATTCTACAAATAATGTGAGAATTAGGAGTTTAAAAAAAACACATAAAGCTTTGATAATAGTATCTGACATTGAGTAAGTGCTATGCTTTGTTAAACCGAATGTAGCCTTTGGCACTATTTGACAAAACTCTGTATTGTGTTGTTTAAAATCAGAATAGTGTAAGCAAAACCTGCAAGCAAAAGAGTATTTTTAAAGGGAATCAGGTATGATTCTGAGACTGTCAGTTTAAACAAACACATAGTAGTACCACAACAATTGAGTCATTTAATGATTAAAAAGCAAAGACTGTCAGTTTAAACAAACACATAGTAGTACCACAACAATTGAGTCATTTAATGATTAAAAAGCAAAGTTTATGTAATATTACATATTACATTTTTCATTGACAAAGTTTTGCTTTTTAAAAACTTGAGTGTTTTGTCTTTTCACTTTTCAAACAAAAGTTAATCTTTCCAAGGTGAGCAAAAATAAACTTCATTGTTAAAGCTATTGGTTTGCTTGTATAAGCTACCTGGTATAGTCAGAAGATCACAGACTTTGAATCATGGACAAAGAAACCAATCTCTGCCACGAAGGTATAATTCTGGGCTTACAGTAGAAATATATTAAACATACTTTCCATGGTATAACAGTCTGGCTATAAAACCTGTATGGAATTCAATAAGTACTTTGCTAAAAAAATTTTGGGAGAAAGGTAATATGTAGGATCTACCTTCTCCTCAGATAGCTTAAGATTCACAACTTGGATCTCTCTAGTCATAGTGCTGTACTTTAATCAGAGTGGGAGTAAAACAGCAGCTTTATAAGACTGCTGTTATTTCTGGGCTAAATGATCAGGTTGGTTTAATTCAGTGAAGTTTACCATAAACTGCTTCATTAAATATGGCAGTAGCTTTCCAAAAGATCCTTATCAATTTCATCTAAAACTAATCTTACACTGTTATAATATTCCATAGAAATCAACAATTTCTTCATATTCAGTTCTTATAAATCTACTTGCACAATGAAATGTGTATAAAAATACTAACAATAAAAGAAAGGCTGAGTGGTAAAGTACCTGCCTACTAATCAAAGGGCATTTTTGGATTTGATCCCCTGCACCAGGGAAAAGGGCACAGATTGATATACAGCACATCACAAATCAGTTCAGAGGAATGTAACTTTTGTACATAAGGTAGGTATAAAGAAATAATAAATTGTAGCCAGGTTCTGTTATCTCATACCTATAATGCTACTCAGAAGGCTGAGACAATGAGTTTGCAATTTGAAGTCAACCTGGGAAGGAAAGTCTGTGAGACTCTTATTAACTCCAATTAACCAGCAATTCAAAGTAGAGCTGTGGCTCAAGTAGTAGAGTGCTAGCCTTGAGCAAAAAACTCAGGGACAGTGCCTAGGCCCTGAGGTCTCAAGCCCCAAGACTGGCACAAAAAGAAAAATCATGAGTTTGTAATACTGAAATGTTGAATCTTCATAATAACTGAATTTATAGTTTTGAATTTGTCATTCTTAAGTAAAAAAAAAAAATCTGCCAACATAAAAATGCCTTTCAGCCAGGCATGGGGTGGCTCACGCCTATAATCATTGCTACTCTGAAGGCTGAGATCTGAGGCTCGTGGCTCAACACCAGCCTGGGAAGGAAAGTCCATGAGACTCTTATCTCCAATTAACCACCAAAACAAGAAGATGGAAGTGGAGCTGTGTCTCAAGCTCAGGGACAGTGTTCAGGCCCTGAGTGTAAGCCCCGAAATAACAACAACAACAAAGATTGCTTTTAATTTGGTTGATTATAAAATGTTAATAGACTGAATAATATAATAATTATTATTTGTCAGTCGTGGGGCTTAAACTCTGGCCCTGGGCGCTGTCCCTCAGCTCTTAAGTTCAAGGCTAGTGCTCCACCACTTGAGCCACAGCACCACTTCCAGGTTTTCTGGTGGTTAATTGGTTACTCATTTATAGTAAGAGTCTCATGGACTTTCCTGTGCAGGCTGGCTATGAACCTTGGTCCTCAGATCTCAGTCTCCTGAGTAGCTAGGATTACAGGCATGAGCAACTGCCATCTGGCTTGAATTATTAATTTTTAATTTTTTTCCCATATGAGGATGAGGCTTGAACTCCAGTCTGTTTATGATACTCTACCACTTGAGCCATACCTCCACTTCCAGCTTTCTTATTGATAAACTGGAAAGAGTCTTAAGGTTGGTTTTATTTAACCAGGCTGGTTTGGAAAATCGATCCTCAGATCTTATCCTCCTGAATAGCTAGGATGAGATATTTAATCCATCGTGTCCAGCTATACTGAAGTTTTAAAACATCAATTTAATATCACAAAATACTTGTAAATCAGTTCTTAAATTTATTAAGAAGCATACCTTCTTTGTTTTGGGGTACCTAGTAGGACATTTATTAAGTGCTGGAACTTCAGTTTCAGTAATTATTTCTGCTATTGCAGTTTCGGTTTCGGGTTCTATTGCAAGTACAGTATTTTCAATATCATTTTGTTGTGATGTGACTTCAATATCAGGAGAAGATGGCTGGATATCTGAACACATACTGACAGTTCTATGTCTCCGACGCTGCTGTCCAATGTGAGTCCTACTTCGAGAGAAACTTTTTCTCTGTTTAGTTCTATTCACTTTGGCAGGTGTTGGTTTGTTAGCAGTTTCTTCTTTTGCTTGTTCCTAATTCAAAATACAACACAATGGAACTTCTGATATTTATCATATGTCTCTTTTTTTTTTTTTTTTTTTTTTGCCGGTTGTGGGCCTGAACTCTGGGCCTGGGCACTGTCCCTCAGCTCTTCAGCTCAAGGCTAACACTCTACCACTTGAGACAGCACCACTTCCGGCTTTTTCTGCTTATGTAGTACTGAGGAATCAAACCCCAGGGCTCATGTATGCAAGGCAAGCACTCTATCACTGAACCACCTTCCCAGCCCTCATATGTTTCTTTGAGTAGAACAGTATTAGTCTACTTCAGAAGCTAATGACTTAAAGATTTTTGTATGCCACATTTTTGTATGCCACAACTAAGCAAGTATAGTCTTAGGTTTCAAATGTTAAGTTCCCCAGAAGACTGGAAAAATGCTTCATTAAACATTCTTTATAGCTGCAGTAACTGAACTGTTTATGGAAATTTTAGTTGATAATGTTTAGGGTGAAAATATTTAATTCTAGAAATAAAAATAGACCTGAATAATACTAATGATAATACCTGAATAACTTCAGCATCACTGACATTTTGTGCCTCTTTACATTCACTTTTAACTTCAGTTTTGGCTGTGCTGATCCTTTCCAAAGCTTGTTCTCTTCTTTTCTCTCTTTTTTCAAGTCTGGCAAAAGCTTGCAAAATTGCTTCCATTTTCCTTTCTTCTCTTGTCTATGAAATTTAAAATTTAAGTTAGACAATATCATTTCTTTCAAGTAAAAGTTCTAAACTCGAAATGTTCATGACAAATTTAAGAAACATTTAGTGTGACTTAGCAAACAAGTCTTTGTTGGTAGAAATGGTGGGAAGCAATACTCATTCAACATTGCAAACATCTTGGTAAGACCTGCTACTATACAAGATATATTTCATGAAAATAAACACTTGTGTAATTGAGTATTAATGGTAAGGCTAAAACCAGACAAAAAAAGCCTAAAAAACTATTTCACTTTTCCAAACTGGAAATTCACCTTTATTAATATAGAAGCCAGCCTTCAAAAAAAAATAGATTCAAAATCTGTAAAGTTGAAATGGTATAATTCAACTTGAAGAATAAATGTATTATCACTATATTGTGGTATAAAATCTTGGGTTCAAATCATGCCTCTACCAGTCATATGAGAATTATCTCTGTGATGCTAAGCAAGTTAGCTTTAACTTTCTGCAACTACAAAATGTGGATAACAATACTTACACTTCACTGAATTGTTACTGAATTCAAAGAGAAAGTATATCTGATGTTTTCACATAGTACTTGAAAAATGGTGAGCACTCCATAAATGTTAATTTTTCTATTTTAGCCCTCTAGCCCTCCATTACAATTCTTTTAAGGTATTTCTCTACCTTCCGCGCTTCCTTTCTTACACTGACACTTCAAGACAGGGACTGAGGGAACAGCAAGAGTTCTTTTGAGCATCAGTTCTCTTGGATAGAGAACATTAAGAGCAAGACTCATAGCCTTGACCAGAGGGTCTGGCAAATGCTTCAGCTCAACCAGAACCAGGAAGCACGTCCATCAACTGTCCAGTTCTCCAAATGAAAAGAACCAGGTCCTGAGGCTCAGATCCACTGTTCTTTCCTCCTTCATTGTCATCGATGTGGGGAAGAAAGAAAGAAAGATCAGAACTCAAGGTCTGGCTTCCATAATCTCCACATTGGGAGTTTTAGTTTCAGTAGCTATCAGCAGAGATTCAAACACACCTATATTCTTGGAATTACTGATTAATTCTTCTTTCTTTAGTACAAATTAAACAAGGGAACAAAATAAGAGCCAATAAAATTCAGCAAAGATACTTCCAAAGTTTCTCATTTTTACAGAAAAGTGCTATACTGCAAATTTGACAAAATGTTATCCTCACCCTCTTTATTTTACAGGCAAGGAAACTGAGGTCCAAAGAGGTAAAATTACTTGTTCATGGATACACAATCTGCATCTTAGCTCTCCTGATCTGGGACAGGTAATCAAACCCTGAAAAAGTAGCATAGCAAAAGATGATCTTATTTGTTCACTGAAACTTAAAAATTTAAAGCTGAATCCTTCAGTAGATAATTTCATGTCTGATCTATTTTTTGAGTGTCTATATGTATGTGCTGGTCCTGGGGCTTGAACTCAGGATCTGGGTGCTGTCTTTCAGCATTTTTCACAAGGCTGCTACTCTACTACTTGGGTCATAGCTCCACTTCCAGCTTTTCTATGTGTGGCTACTTGGAGAGAAGAGTCTAATAGACTTTCCTGGCTCAGCTGTATTCAAGCTTCAGTTCTTAGATCTCAGCCTTCTGAGCAACTAGGATTATAAGCCTGAGCCAATGGTGTCTGGTTCTAATCTTTTAAATTACCTTACTTGACCCCCTTTTGTTATATGGCTAGCTTTAAAAACTTTAAAAACTATGTCAGGGCTTCACTAAACTCAATGTCTCATCTGGTGCACCTGATCGAGAAAGAAGTTATTTACTGTAGGCTTTGTTTAAAACTTGGGGAAGGTGTATTTTCCTAGAAGAAATAAAACTCAGAGCAAGAATCATTTACAACATAGACCAAAACGAAGAAGATATTATCTATATTGTGATTATTTTGAATTTCCATATAAGGAATTCCGTAATAAAGACCAAGAGTAAAGTATACTAACCAGGGAATGGGGAGAACTTCACTGAAAAAATTGTTATCTCAGAAAATATCATCTTATAAAGTGTTTCGTAATTTGAATCAAAACTAAGCCTTCAAATTTGTGAATATCTTTCGAGGAAAGTTTTGCTGTTAGTAGGATCTAAGAATTTAGGTGGTGAGGACTGATAAACATAAGGCAGGCATCTAGGGACTTCTGGGTTTTTTTGTGTTTTGTTTTTTTTGATCGGTTATGGGGCTTAATCTGGCCCTGGATGCTGTCCCTCATCTCTTCAGCTCAAAGGCTAGCACTCTACCACTTGAGCCACAGTGCCACTTCCGGTTTTTCTGGTAGTTAATTGGAGATAAGAGTCTCACAGACTTTCCTGCCCCGGCTGGCTTTGACCTTCCATCCTTAGATCTCAGCCTCCTGAGTAGCTAGGATTACAGGTGTGAGCCACCAGCGCCCAGCTGATTTGGTTTTTTTTTACCTTGCTACCCGATTAGCAGCTGCTCTCTTTCTTTTTTCCTTTCCTTTCCTTCTTAACCTCCCTCCCTCCCTCCCTTCCTTCCTTCCTTCCTTTCTGTTTCTAAATAAATTTTTTAAAAAGGCCATGTGAGGTCTTGGGGAGTGTCCCCTGGGCCTGTAGTAGGTAAAATGCAGGGTGTGAAATCTGGTCACCAGAGAGAAACCACCTTGCAGTCTTCCAATTCTAGAAACAATTCCTAAATTTTCATTTGGGGGATGGGACAAGGACCACAAAACTGCCTTGAAGGTAAAAAGTCAGAGCTAAACTACTTAGTTACCCTATCCTATGGTCTTGAAATGGAGAAATTTCCTTACACTGAGAAACTTCCTAGCTGGAAGTGATTTATGTTTATAATCGTAGCTATTCAGGAGAATCAGATCTCAACCTCTTGAGTAGCTAGGATTATCTTCAAGCCACAGGTTTCCAAGAGCACACTAAAATACACAGCAGTTAGACGACTTTGCATGAGTCATACAGCCTAGCTACTGAGTGGCAGCGCTGCTAGGATGTGTTGTGGAGCTATACCATCATGTATTATTCCGGCTTCCCCTCTTTTTTTTTTTTCTTTGACCAGCATTGGTGCTTGAACTCGGCATAGAGATTGTCCCTTAGCTTTCTGACTCAATAGTGCTCTACCACTTGATCCACAGCTCTACTTCTGGCTTTTTGCTGGTTAATTGGAGATGAGTCTCAAGTGCTTTTCTGGCATCCAACTGGGATCATCAGATCTCAGCCTCCTGAGTAGCTAGGATTACAGGTGTGAGCCAATGGCACTCAGCCTACTTTGACATTCTTGGTTGCCTGCACACCCTCTTTTGAGAAAGCTTCTCTAAAGCAGTGCCCTTGTATTCTTTGTTCAACAGTATACTAAATGGTTCTTACCACTCAGATTTTTATTACATGGAAAATTGGGTATGTATTATAGAATGCATATGTTATTATGTGAAGATTATCTGAACAGAACACCAATCCACTTTTTTAATCCAATACTGCCATATCATTAATTACTTATTAATCAGTGGTGAGAAAAGTTGAATTTTTTGATGAACTAAGTTTATGGGGCTGCAGCGGGGGGGGGGGAGCAGTGAACTCAGGACATACTAAGCAACACACTTAGCCCTTGAGCCATTCCTGAAGTCCTCTTAATTTTTTTCAGATTGAATCTCCTATTTTTACCCCTGCAGGTTTTGTACTAGCTCTTTCCATGTATCTCAGATAATAGGTACATGCTACCACACCTAACTATTGCCTGACACAAAGTCTTCCAAACTTTTTCCCTGGGCTGGCCTTGAACCAGTCTTCCTAATTTCCACTTTCTGAGTTGCTGGAATTAGAGAAGTAAACTACTGTGTCAAGTTCTAGTCTATGGGTTGTTTATTGCAGTAGTAGGGTTTGAATTCACAGACTTGAGGCTTGCTAGACAAGTGCTCCACAACTTGAATCATATCCTAGTCCTTTTCGCTTGTTTGTTTTCCAAGTAAGTTCCAGGCTTTTGTATATGTATTTGTGTTAGAGAAGCAGACAGTGGTCTGCTTACCTTCATCCTGATCAGCTGTGATTATAAATGTGTGTCACTGTGTCCAGCCTCATTTTTAAAATAATATCTTTCTAACTTTGCCCACATTAGTCTTGAATGATGATTCGCCTATCTCCACCTCTCAGGTAATTGAGTTCACAGGTATACAAGACCATGCCTAGCAAAACTGGTTACTTTTGTGAGTACCTCTCTGAAGACAGAGACACTGTCCTATCATTCTTATCAAAAAGAATGAAGCCAACAAACAAAACACACAAATCTACCAATACAACTGAAAATAAGCAAAAAATTTATGTAGATAAAAGTCAACAAGATAAAACCAACAAGTACCTACTGTTCAAGCTAAACTACAAAAGGACAAATATATTTGAATTTCCTGCTTTTATCTGGAAAGAAGAGGATATTAATGATTCTTCTTAGGCATATCTGTTAAATATTCATGTGGTTAATATTACCTAGTCTTGTAACAGGAGATAGTTTAAATCAGTTTGGACATGTTTCTCAAGAACAGTGGAGTTTTGTGTAGTTTTAGTCGGATTTTTTTTAAGTTTCTGATTCCAACTAGTGATGTTCATCTGGCCAGAATAGATGGCAAAAACTAAAAAAACTAAAGGCTTACTCATAGAAAAAAAATTTCAAGACAAAATATTAATGCTTTGGGAGGGGAAAAAATCATACTAATGCCTTAAGAATCCTAGGATGTGGTCTGGGAATGTGGCTTAGCGGTGAAGTGCTTGCCTAGCCTAGCTTGCATGAAGCTCTAGGTTTGATTCCTTAGTACCATATAAATAAAAACAAACAAAAATCCACCTAGGATGTATGCTTCTGCATTCTGTTTGCTTGATTATATGCAAAAATTTTATAATTCAAACATCAAGTCAAGGGCTGGAAAATGTGCCTTCATGGAAGAGTGCTTGCCTAACATGCACAAAGTCCTGAGTTCAATTCCTCAGTACCACATACACAGAAAAGGCCAGGATTGGCATTGTGGCTCAAGTGGTAGAGCACTAGCCTTGAGCATAGAGATGGACAGAGCTCAGGCTCTGAGTTCAAGCCCCAGAACTGGCAAAACAACAACAAAAATTCAGGTCAAATGTAACACTATTAAATAGTAAGTCTGAAGCCACTTAGCAATATATATTTGTGTGTGAAAATCTTTTAGATTTTTAAAGTTTTATTTCCTATTCTTTCAAAATACAAAACTATGTTTACAGTTCTCAAATTTTCTACATTTTATTCCCTACTCAGAACCTTAGTGTCAGATAGTAGTATGAGTATGCTGAAATGGATGTAAAAACTTTGGTGTGTTTTTATTTTGTATCTTAATATAACATATTACATAAGTAGAATCAGAACCAAAATGGAACTACAAGTATGCTTAGAAAATATGAAAATATTTTTTCTATGAGGTTTTAACATCAACAAAAGGGTGTCCAATTTCCTGGGATCTGGACATAAGGGCCTCCATCTTTACCATCTATCGATGCTGAAGAACTTTGGAATTTGGACTAGTGGTATGGCTTAAGTAGGGAGAGCACCTGTGTCTGCCTAGCAAGCATGAGGCCCTGAATTCAAAAGCCTTGTATTGTAAAAAAAAAGAAATAAGTAGCCCTAACAAAACTTTTTTTTTTTTTTTCTTTTTGCGTCCAGTAGTGGGGCCTGAACTCTGGGCCTGGGCGCTGTCCCTCAGCTCTTCAGCTCAAGGCTAGCGCCACAGCTAGAGCCACAGCGCCACTTCTGGCTTTTTTCTTTTTGCTTATGTGGTGCTGAGGAATCGAACTCAGGGCCTCAGGCATGCAAGGCAAGCGCTCTACC